TTAAGAGTTTGTTGTTTAACTTCCACAAATTTACAGATTTTTCCAAGTTTCCTTCTTCTATTGATTTCTTCATCCCATTGTGGTCAGAGAAGACACTTTGCATGATATATATCTTTTCAAATGTGTTGAGACTTAATATGTGGCCTAACATATGATCAATCCTGGAAAATGTCCCATGTGCCCTTGAGAAGAATATGTATTCTGTTGTTTTGGGGTAGGGTGTTTTGTATATCTGTTAGCTCTAGTTGGATTACTCTGTTGTTTAAGTCCTCTATTCCTTTACTTCTGTCTGGTTGTCCTATCCATTATTGAGAATGGGTTATTGACATTTCCAACTATTATTGTAGAATTGTCTGTTTCTCCCTTCAATTCTGTCCATTTTTGCCTATTTTTATAGGTTTGTCATTAGGTGTGTGTTTATAATTGTTATATCTTCTTGTTGTATTGAAGCTTTTATGAATATATAATATCCTTTGTCTTTTGTCACCTTTTGAAATTTTTTTTAATTTTTTTTTTTTTTTGAGAGAGAGAGAACGTGTGTGTGCGCATAGAGGAGGGGCAGAGAAAGAGGGGGACAGAGAATCCAAAGAGGGCTCTGTGCTGACAACAGTGAGCCGGATGTGGGGCTCTAACTCATGAACCATGAGATCATGACCTGGGCTGAAGTCAGAGGATTAACCCACTGAGCCACCCAGGCACCCCATCCTTTTTTGAAGTCTATTTTCCATTGTGTCTTTTTGTTCTGTTGTTTGGTTATTTGCTTGGAATATCTTTTTGCATACTTTTACTTGTAACCTGTTTGTGTCTTTGGATATAAAGGGAATCTCTTATAGTTGAGTTATGTTGTTTATTCATTCTGCCAATATTTGGTTTTTGATTGGAGAATTTAATCTATGTACATTTAAGTAATTCCTGATAAGGAGTGACTGCTTTCTTTCGTTTTGGTATTTATTTTTTAATTGCCTTACAGCTTTTTTGTCCCTCATTTCTTGCATTACTGTTACCTTTTGTGTTTAGTTATTTGTTGTAGTAAAACATTTAAATTTAATTCTCATTTCCTTCTGTGTATATTCTGTCGCTGTTTCCTTTTTGATTACCATGGGAATTATACTTAGCATCTATCATCAACATTCTAATTTGAATTTATATCAGCTTAACTTCAACAACATAAAAGAACTCTGCTTCTTTACAGCTCTATCCAGTTGTTGATACTACATCTTTATATATTGTGTGCCTCATAGCATAAATTAAAAACAATTTTTTTTCACACTAACAGAGACTTGTCTTTTTTGCCCTTATTTTAGGGGCTGACACTGGGCAGGCAGCAGGAAGAGGGCAGGGCTAGGACGGGGCCTGAGCAAGGGCTCAGACCCCAGACTGCCCTGGGCGCTACAGACAGGGCAGCTGCTGCGGGACAACTGTACCAGGGGCAGGGGCGCCCGGCTGGCTCTGTGCTTGCACAGCAGCCCTTGGTCAAGATGCTGGCTGCATGGTTACCATTGGCCTGCAGGAGGTGCAGCAGCTGGCCCTGAAGGTCCAGGGGCCCGACTGCCTCTCGCCCAGCGGTGTGATTGCCCGCACAGTGCAGCAGCTCCTGGAGGTGGCAGCTAGGTAGGGGCTGCGTGGCTGCATTGGATGACAGCAGCATGAGCCGAAGCAAGAACAGCAGCAGTGTCACCATAAATTAATAATCTTAAAAATGCATTCGTCACTTAAATTATGTAGAAAGCAAAGTGTGGACTTGCAAACCAAAGTTATAATAAAACTAGCTTTTTAAATTGCCCATGTATTTACCTTTACTGAGATCTTTATTTCTTCTTATGCCTTTGATTTACTGTCTCCTGTCCATCCTTTCCCATTCCTAAGGGAGAGGTTCCATTATTGAGGACTTAAATTATATAGAGAGATGTCAGCTTCAGAAATGTTTGGAACCCAGTATCTATAGTGGCTAATGAAATCCAGAAAACTTAATTGTCTGTTAGTAATCACCTTCTTATTTATCAGGAATGATAGATTTATCCCCACTGGATAAATCATACCTTAAATAATGTATTTTATTCTGACAAAATTCTAAACTTTCTTTGGAATTTGCATGTCCTTTTTGAGCTAAAGCAGTAAGTAGTTAAATGGAGTTAGTTTTAGAGCTCTTCTCATCTTTAGAATAATGAAAACTTGCCCATATATTGTATAAGAGTAGAGTTACAGAGAAATTTAAGTTCCTTAAGCTTCTTCAGTAAACCCTTGAGGCATAGCTATCTAGATAAATTGTTGACTTTCCCAAGAAAATAGTTACACCATCTTGATCTAAAGGGACACTATAGAAAGCAGAATGTGTATTTATAGTGGTAAAGTATGTAAAGTCGGGTAGCACTGAAGATAAAATAGTATTTGGGCTTAGTACTGCAAAGAATTGGGGCCACGGTTATTTTATTTATTTGTCTTGAACAGATCTTTATCTTCACCCATTGAGTTTCTTGACTGGAAATCAACAATGTTCAAAGACTGGCATAAAGTGTGATTCATCCGTTCTCTATTAGGTTTTGGACTATTCATTTTAATTCTTAACTTCTGGTTTTAGAGATATTATGTAAAGTTAGGTGGAGGTTTGCTGCTAATATCAGTAAGACATTTTGCCCACAAAGAGTGCCACTTCATAGAGATCTTAATTTGGTTTGATCATGTCAAAGGTACCAGTAGTCAATATTCAAATATAGCTGTAATCTGATTACAAATAGAAAAATCCTCAGAGATCTAAAAAAAAAAAAAAAAAAAAAAAAAAAAAATCAGGCAAGAATTTAATTTTGCAATTCTAGTTTACATACTAGATTCCTTTCTCCAATGCTAATGGGTGTGGTGACATAAAGGAGAAAATAATATGTCTCACTTGAGAATCCAAGGATAACAGTTGTAGGCTAAAACAGTAGGGAATATCTCTGGATTATTAGAGATATTCACTATCTGAGTAGTTCATTGACTCTGAGGAAGAGATTATGTGATGATGGCAGGATTAATGGTATGAGTAAAATGTTTGCAAGGTTTCTTTTAATATTTAGAGAAATTTCTCTTTGCAAGTTTGAGGATAAAATGGGAAGTTGGATACATGATTTTCCCTCAGAGCAGTATCATTGATTTGTCCACTTGATTTTTTCCCCCTTCATTTTCTTAGCTAGTTCAGGAGAGTTTTTTCCCCAGTGGCCTTTCCGATTATAATAAATATCTACAAGTGTCTTTACCAAAAGGCTCACTCCTTCAGTGCTTGATGACTGAAGTGGGAACATTAAGCTGTTTTATCTATAAGACTTCCAGTTCATTTTGCTTTTGTTGTAAGGCTTTTTGAACAGCTGGATTTGGAGATCTAGTGATGGGGCTATTTCCCATCCTAGTTTTGGTTGCGCATTAAATCTCCTATTTCCAGATTTAAGGCTGTTCACAAAAAAGTGAGGAGAAAGCTAGAGGTCACATGTACTTCAGAATGTACTCCTCAACGAACTGTCCCTGAGGTCTTCAATAAATTCTTTCCTTGCTTGCGGGAGTGCTTTAGAGTGTAAATTATTTTCACAGAAAACTGGCCAACAGCCTCTGAAAGATTTTGTCCAACATCTACAGCTTGTCTAAACCTGTCTGGTTTCCTGTGCGGTTTGTGATTTCCTAAGCTATTCTTGGGATCTTCTCACTTTGCTTTTTCCATTCAATTTATTTTTTCATTTGAGAATATGAATCATTGGTACACATCTGGGAACTGGCAGTATTATTTTTAAAATTTAGCCTGTAAGAATTAAAATATTTTTTTAATTTTAATTTTTTTTTTTTTTTTTTAGTAATCTCTATACCCAGTGTGGGGCCCAAACTCACGACCCCAAGGCTGAAGAGCTACTCAGATAGTGAATATCTCTAATAATCCAGAGATACTCCCTATTGTTTTAGCCTACAACTGTTACCCTTGGATTCTCAAGTGAGACATATTATTTTCTCCTGTAGATCACCACTCCCATTAGCATTGGAGAAAGGAATCTAGTATGTAAACAGAAGTCACATGTTCTTCTGACTAAGCCGGCCAGGTGCCCCAATAATTAAAATATTTTAAAGTAATTGCTAACTTTAGAAAAAATAAAAAGCTGTGTTAGATAGAAATGTAATTAAGGTATATTATATGGCTGAGCACTGAATAAAAATTGCACAGTCATGATAGTATAATTATTGAAAAGTGAAATCACAATTTTTAGTGACTGTTGGAAGAATAGAGGGAGCAGATGTTAGGTAATGGTTGTACAAGAAAGCTAAACTCCCACCTATCATAATAGGAAGTCAGTAGATAAAATTTTTAAGTAGATAAATCAACATATACTTAGAAACACGGAGTCAAATAACAGAAACATTTGAAGTGGTTCCACTTTTAGATCTAATGGCTTTAAATTATGAGAATTATTCAGTAACATAGAAAAAGAAAGTTTGAAGTCATCTTGAATCTAAAGGACAGAACACAACTTCTATCAAAAAAGGAGGGAGAGAAGGAAAAAAAAGAAATGGAATCATATATGTGTATTTTTAAAAAATGCCCTGTAGTAGTTTTGATTTTATAAAAAATTATTTTGGTGAATTTAAAGAATTATGTCGTCATGTGAACATTTGTGCCTAGATAATAAAATGGGTTTCTTTGGGAACTCTAAAGGATTATAGGCTAATTGTATACTATTAATTTTAATAACTTTTGATGAAAGGTATTTTCTTGAAGAAAGCTTTGGAGTCAGGCATGTTTAGAGTTGTTTAAACAATTTTAAATCAATGCGTTTTATCATGAAAAGCAACTGGAAGCAAAATTATTGTATGCTGATTCCATGACAGGTAAAAAATCATAGACTTGGATTAAAGTTGCATTTCAAGAGCATACAATAATACATACAATAAATATGTTTAATTTTTATTTAAATTGTGAACTCAATTAAAAGTTAAAACTTTCAGTCGCTCAAATTTGTTTTAACTTTTCATAATTTTTAAAATAGGAAACTCTTCAGAATCAAAAGGAAACATTAACAAAGCAACACAAAGAAGCAATGGCAGCTTTTAAAAAGCAGGTAAAGGATAGACAGACACCAGTTTCAAATATTTCATCTCCTGTGCTCCCATATGAATATTATGCTAAGTTGTTCTGCATACTCACTGAAGACAAAAGAGTACTAATGGAAGCAGGAAATAAAGTCATTTTGAATCACAACCGACAATAAAGAGTAATGTAGTTAGAAAGAGCTAGTTAAGGAAACAAATTAGAAAATTGTTTTCTTTGGAGATATGTTTTCATCTGTCCTAAGTAAATTAGGTTAGTTTTTGTGTGCTCTTCTTTCTCTTCATTCTTCCCTTTCTCTTTGGTTAGAGTATCCTAGGATCTTACCTTTTTTGCTTTCTTCCTGTATCCAGGCCAGAAATAGAATGAGATGCACGTAGAGCGATGTGAAAGATGAGCAGATGTGACTATTATGCACCGAAATCTCCATAAATACTATCAGCATCTAAGAAAGAGCAGAGAAAAACATATACATACATATGTACATACATACATATGTATGTATGTACGTATATAAAAGATTTTTAAAAAATGAATAGCAACTCCTTCAGTTGTTTTGAGTTTTATAGCTCTACTACTTCAAATGTGCTCATGGAAAATATTCTCAGGAAGTGTTTTTCCTTATAGCCATTCTAGCATCACCATTTTCCCCCTTTTTCCTTCCCTCTCTTTTGTCTTTATTTAAGTGTGTGTGTGTTTAGAAAGAGAAATGCATAAAAAGAAATACATCCTGTATAAAGTAAGTCACTAGTTGACCAAAGTTATTTGTAATTCACACTGTAGTGTGGTTTTGTTTAAGCAGATGATAAACTTTCTTCCTTTTAGTCTGAGATGGCCTCACCAAAGTTATGGAAGTTTTATTTGAAGACAGCCAAATATACCACATAGTATTCTCTAGGAGAAGGCAAGTTTGTGTCTCTCTTACTTATCACAGGGGACTTTGGGCAAGATAAGAATATCCAGATATCTGAATGGTAGTTTAAAAGTGCTCTTGAGCTCTTTTTCTCCTATGTTTTTGTTTGTTTTTTCTCCTCTTCTCCCCTACCTACCACTCTCCATTTCTTGATTCTTGAATGAGCACTGTAAGGGATATGGAAAATGAGACGGAGAAATTCCAAGGAAAATTGTATTTCTTGACAGTCTTGCCTGGTATCCTTGTGTTGCTTGGGATATTTAATTAGTTTTCTTTGTCATGTTGACTTTGGTTCCTCTGTTTTAGAATATCCCTATTTATTTATTAGACTGCTACATGCATCTTTTAAAAAATTTCAGAAAATATGTCAATGCCAATTCAAATGATAGTCATTTCATAAAAGTGTGCCTTCAGAAAATGTTGCATGTCATTATTTATGAGTAGATGGCAAAATATTGAAACATCGAAGAAAAAAAGCTTCTGGAAGGAAAAACTAAATTTTCAAGGGTGATTGGTGTCTCTAATCAATTTGATTAAATTGTTCATTTCTTTTGGTGACTGGCTTTTTGCCCCCTTTTATATATTTCATTATTTTCTCATGTGTGAAAGTAGCACATTCACGTTGTATTAAGTTCAAACAATATAGATGTGTAAAATATTTTTGTAGTCTCGCTGACCAATGTAAATCACTGTTAACTGTTTACTTACCTGTATTTTAATTTTTAAAATTGTTTATCAGTTGAAAATGAAGATGTGTGCCTTGGAAGAAGAAAAGGTACTTACTAATTTTTTAATAATTTAAACCATAGTTAAATGCATTCATTATTAGTTGTGCACCATAATGAAAAACATTAATAATAGACAAATGGAGAATGTTAATTGTTTGAAATCTTAGAAACAGAAAGACCCAAGGAACTCATGTTACCTGTTAGTTTACAGTTGATAATACTGAAACCTAGCAAGATTAAAGAACTTGCTGAAGCTCCCATTTTAAAGTGGCAAAGTTGAGACTAGAACCCATATCTCTTCAGCCTCCAAATTAATGCTCTTTATACTCTATTGCAATGTTTCTGTTAACCATATTTTTAGTGCTTTATCAATGTAATTACCTATTTAAAAAAAATTAAAATGATTTTCATCTGGATGCAGACCAGATGCAACTGGAAAAGAAGATACAACCCTGAGCAATCCTAGAAATTCACCTGGCATTAAATATTTTCCCTACTTAATAGTTAATATATGTTTTTATTATATCAATGAACATACTATTTATAAACACCTTTTAAAAAATTCTCCTATATCTTTATAAGACAAATATACTTGTATGTATCTTATTAATTAGGATATATTTATTCTAGCTATATGAATTAAATAATTATATAGTGTCCATAAATTCTCAGGAATGCTCTACTGATAAAATGATTTGTTATGACTTTTCATTTCATGATATTTGTCATCTTGTAAAGGCCTTATGGTAATTTCATGATATTTTGAAGTCATTAGAAATGTTAAGTTTTGCTGCAGATCCAGGTTTAAAGCCTGCAAGGTGTTAAAGTAGAGGTTTTGGTTCTTGAGCTTTTGTATTTTCCCCATTAATAATATTTCATTTACACTGGAAAATACTGAAATATCGGTTTTTTTTTTTTATTTAAAGGGAAAATACCAACTTGCTACAGAAATAAAAGAGAAAGAAATAGAAGGATTGAAAGAAACATTAAAAGCATTACAGGTAAAGTAACTGAGCATTGCTTTAAAAAATAGTTTGGTATTTTAGCATTGTATTAGTAAAATGTCCACTAAACAGGTAAATTAGCAAAACAAAGCTGGTAAAAGTTCGTATACAATGGTAATTTTTTCCTGAAAGCCTTGAATTTCAAATTAGGATTTTTCCTCATCTTTTATTTTATAAAGAAATATTAGGGGCACCTGGGTGGCTCATGGGTTGAGTGTCTAACTCTTGATTTCTGCTCAGGTCATGATCCTGGCCGGGGCTGTGGGATTGAGCCCATGTCAGGCTCCATGCAAAGTGTGGAGCCTGCTTAAGATATCTCTCTCTCTCTCTCTCTCTCTCTCTCTCTTTCTCCCCCCATCCCCAGTTGTGTTTGCTCTCTCTCAAATAAAAATGTAAAAAATGAAAAAGAAACATTAAAATAACTTCATTATTTCTTACTATAATATAATTAAATAGACGTGTGTTATTTTTAACACTCTGTAGATGAAAAAACCAAGTCAGGCCTATATATTAAAACTGATTACCTGTGGTCCTTAAAAGTTAAAATAAAATAGCATTAAGCAAGTCATCATTACTTTCTCAGTACTGTGCTTATTTTCTGCCGATACCGAGATGACAAAAACATCACATTTGCCTTTAGGTTGTTCACAGCCTCATACAGAATATAGATGATATCAACTCATGATAATCAACTCATCAATTATCAACTAATTATGATTCATTAAATATACTTATTGAAGGTGTACAGTGTGCCAAGCAGTGTTCTAAGCCCTTGAGATATAACAATGATAAAAAGGGACAAAAATTCTGCTTTTATGGAGTTTCCATTCTAGGGGGGGAAGATAAGCAATAAAATGAGAGACAAGGAAAAACGAAGATTGTTGGGGGAGAAAATACCTGGTTTTGAAGTATCACCCTATAGGGCACTTGTACCCCAGTGTTTATAGCAGCACTCTCAACAATAGCCAAATTATGGAAAGAGCCTAAATGTCCATCAACTGATGAATGGTTAAAGAAATTGTAGGTCTTATATATATACAATGGAGTACTCATGGCAATAGAGAAAGAATGAAGATATGGTCCCGTAGAAGTAACGTGGATGGAACTGGCCAGCAAGTGAAATAAGCCATACAGAGAAGCAGATGATCATATGGTTTCACCTATATGGATCCTGAGAAACTTAACAGAAACCCATGGGGGAGGGGAAGGAAAAAAAAAAAAAAAGAGGTTAGAGTGGGAGAGAGCCAAAGCATAAGAGACCTATAAAACTGAGTAACAAACTGAGGGTTGATGGGGGGGTGGAGGAGGGAGGTTGGTATGGTCATTGAGGAGGGCACCTTTTGGGATTAGCACTGGGTGTTGTATGGAAACCAGTTTGACAATAAACTTCATATATTGGAAAAAAAAAAGTATCACCTTATAGATAACAATTACAAAGAGTAAAATATGTTTTTATGATGGAAGGATCCTGATGGTCACTACCTTAATCAGGTAATTCACACCATAGTGTGGATTTGTTTAAACGTGTGATACACTTTCTTTCTTTAGTTGATTAAGGTAGGACAAAGTTTCCCTTTTCTTCACATTCTCACAAACCTTGTTATCTCTTGTCTTTCTGATCATGCCATTCTAATAGGTGTAAGGTGATACCTCATTGGGATTGACCTTGTATTTCCCTGATGAGTAGTGATGTTGAGTAACTTTTCATATATGTGTTGGCCATTTGTATGTAGTCTTCCTAGAAAAATCTTTCGTGTCCTTAGCCTGTCTTTTAAATTGGTTTTGTTTTGTTGCTGGGGAGTGTACAAGCTCCTGATACATTGTGGATGTTAACCCCAGTCAGATACATGGTTTGCAAATGTTTCTCCCATTCTGTAGGTTGAGTTTTCAGTCTGTTGATTATTTCCTTTGATTACAGAAGCTTTTTATTTCATGTAATTCCAGTAGTCTGTTTTTGCTTTTGTTGTTTGTGCTTTTGGTGTCATATTCAAAAAATCACTGCCGGGGTGCCTGGGTGGCTCAGTCGGTTGGGTGTCCGACTTTGGCTCAGGTCATGATCTCGCGGTCTGTGAGTTCGAGCCCCGCATCGGGCTCTGGGCTGACAGCTCAGAGCCTGGAGCCTGTTTCGGATTCTGTGTCTCCCTCTCTCTCTGACCCTCCCCTGCTCATGCTCTGCCTCTCTCTGTCTCAAAAATAAATAAATGTTAAAAAAAAAAATTTTTTTTTTAAATCACTGCCTAGACTAATGCCAAGAAGTTCTTCTCCTGTGGTTTTTCTTCTGGTAGTTTTATGGTTTCAGGTCTTATGTTTAAGTCTTTAATCCATTTTGAGTTGATTTTTGTATATAGTATGAAATTTTGTATATGATGCAAGATAAGGGTCTGATTTCATTTTTCTGCATGTGGATATCCAGTTTTTCCAGTACCATTTTTTGAAGAATATCTTTTCCCCATTATATATTCTTGGTACCCTTGTTGAAGATCAGTTAGCTGTAGTTGCATGGATTTCTATTCTCTCTATTCTGATCCATTAACCAGTATGTGTGTTTTTGTAGCAGTATCATACTGTTTGGATTACTATAACTTTGAAATGGATTTTGAAATCAGGAAGCATGATGCCTCCAGCTTTGTTCATCTTGCTCAGGATTGCTTCAGCTATGATTTTCTGGTTTTAGGGCCTTTCGTGGTTTGTATGAATTTTAGGATTATTCTTTGTCTGTGGAAATCAACGTTGTGATTTTGATGGGGATTCCATTGAATTGGTAGATCATTTTGGGTAATAGGGACATTTTAAATATTAATTCTTCTATCCATGAACATAGGATGTTTTTCTTCTTATCTGTCTTTTTAAATTTCTTTCATCAATGTTTTATAATATTCAGTGTACAAACATTTTACTTCTTTGGTTAAATTTATTCCTGAAAAAATTTTTAATTACTGTGAATGAGATAGTTTTCTTAATTTCCTTTTTGGATAGTTTGTTGTTTGTGTTAGAAATATGGCTGATTTTTGTATGTTGATTTTGTGTCCTACAACTTTACTGTATTCATTTATTCTAAGAGTGTTTTTGTTGAGTCTTTAGGGTTTTCTACGTATCTGATCATGTCATCTTCAAATGAATAATTTCACTTCTTTCTGATTTGGATGCCTTTTATTTCTTTTTCTTGTCTAATTGCTCTAGTTAGGACTTCAGCACTGTTTTGAATAGAAGTAGTAAGAGTGAGCATCCATGCCTTATACTGAATTGATTATGATGTTTACTGTGGACTTTTTGTAGGCTTTTATTGTGTTTAGGTGTTACCTTGTGTACCTATTTTATTGAGAGTTTTTATCATGGATGGGTGTTAAATTTTGTCAAATGCATTTTCTATATCATATTGAGATGAACATGTGGATTTTTTTTTTATTTTGTTAATGTGATATATCACATTGAATGATTTGCATATGCTGGACCATCTGGCAGCTCAGGGATAAATCCCACTTGGTCATGGTGTATGAAACTTTAACATGCCGTTATTTGGTTTGCTAGAATTTTATTGAAGATTTTTGCATCTGTGTTCATCAGGTATATTGGCCTATAGTTTTCTTTTCTTGTGTTGTCTTTGACTTTGTTATAAGAGTGATGTGGGCCTCATAAAATGAGTTAGGAAGTATTCTCTCCTTTTCTGTATTTTAGAAGAACTTAAGAAGGGTTGGTGCATTAATTCTTCAAATGTTTGGTAGAATTCATCCATGAAGCTATCTGGTTTGGGGATTTTCTTTCTTGGGAGATTTTTAGTTACTGATTCAGTTTCCTTCTTAGTTACCACTATATTTATGCTTTCTGTTTCCTCTTTCTTCAGTTTTGTTAGACTGTGTGTTTCTAAGAATTTATCCATTTCTTCTAGGTTATCCAGTTTGTTGATGTGTGGTTGTTTCTTTTTATTTATGAGTCATCCATTGTGATGTCTCCTTCCATTTCTGATTTTATTGATTTGGATCTTCTCTCTTTTTGTTTAATTTATCCTTCCAAAAGAATAACTCTTAGTTTGGTGATTTTTTTCTGATTGTTTTTCTATTTATTATTTATTTCTGTTCTAATATGTATTATTTTCTTTTGCTGGTTTTGGGGTTCTTGCTTTTTCTAGTTCTTTGAGATGTAAAATTAGATTGTTTATATGAAATATTTCTTTTTTCAAGGTAGGCATTTATATTATAAAAACACCCATTAGTACTGCTTTTGCTGCATCCCATAAGTTTTGGTATGTTGTGTTATTGTTTTTGTGTATCTTAAGATACTTTTTAAATTCTCTTTTTTTTTTTGACATGATTGTTCAAGAGTGTTTAGTTTCCACATAGTTGTGAATTTCCTGTTTGCTTACTGTTGTTGATTCTTGTTTCATTCCACTGTGGGTAGAAAAGATATTTGGTATGATTTTGATCTTCTTAAATTTGTTAAGACTTATTTTGTGACCCAACATTATCTATCCTGAGAATGTTTCATGTGTACTTGAGAAGAATGTATATTCTGCTGTAGGGTGAAAAGTTCTGTGTATATCTGTTAGGTCCATTTGACCCATAGTGAGGTTTAAGTCAACTGTTGCATGATAGATTTTCTGTCTGGATGTTCTGTACATTATTGTAAGTGAGGTAGTAAAGTCTCCTACTATTATTGTATTTCTGTCAATTTCTCCCTTCAGGTCTGTTGATATTTGCTTTATGTATTTAGGTGCTCTGATGTTGAGTGCATATATAATCGTTACAGCTTCTTGTTGAATTGACTGACCATTTAGCATTATATAATGACCTTTTTTTGTCTCCAGAGACAGTTTTTGACTTAAAGTCTATTTTGTATGATGTAAATATAGCCACCCCTGCTTTATTTTTGGTTTCTGTCTGGTATCTCTTTCATCTCTGTACTGTCAGCTTATTTGTGTCCTTAAATCTAAAGTGAGTCTCTTGTAAGTAGTATAGTAGTCCCCCTTTATCTATGGAGGGTATGTTTCTAGACCCCCAGTG